GTGTTGTACTTGTAGCTTTTTAAAGTCTGGGTGGCTAGGATGGGAGTAAGGATAATCAGTGGTGAATTGCTGGTTATTTTGAAATCTGCATTGATATAATCATACTTTTGCTCTTTTTCTCCCTTTATTTCTACAAAGCCAACTGAAGTTGAAGAAAAAGCAATTAAAAAAGTGGATGAGCTTCTTGAAACATACATGGGGATAAGAGATATTGAATTAGGTGAGTTTTTAACAGATACATTACTACAAGATTAAATAATTCACTTTCTGTAGTCTAAAATTTATTGAGTACTTTTGTCTCTGGATGTGAGCGAAGCAAATTTGTCCAGCATACAGTCTCAAAAACTTGCCTATATTTCTGCAAATGTGTGTCTCTGAGAAAAGACAGAACCTCTCACTACAAACCTTATGGTGTAATTAATTAGTCCTATATTCTTCCTGCACATTATCCATACACTAATGCATGAATTATTTAGTTGTTTACCATTAACTGTCATCACTGTATTCTTTCTGGAATATATATTCTAGTGAAGCTTGTGCATACCACATTTGAGGATTGTTAAGGATAAGCATGTCTATTTCCTTTTTTGGTCTTTTCCCCCTTGGCTTAGACACATTAAAGCTGATCCCTAAAGTTTGAATCTGAGATCTTAATCAGTGAAAGGGCAGCAATTTAGCAATGAAACTGACAGAGTAATTGCACAAATTCATCAGATTCTCTAAAGCCTGTGTTCTGAAGAACATGGGAAATTTTCCAGAATATTTTCTAGCTATCACAATTGTCAGTTTATAATGAAAGAAACTATTCAACCTCAGTGTCATAAGTTCCTTAAAGCTGAACCAAACTTGTCCTTGCAGCTATTGCTTCTCTGTTAATCTGAGAACAACTAAATAGGAACTTGTGTTTGTATGGGAAGAAGCTGCAATCTAGCTGAGTAAGAAGTGCTGCTGTACTCCTCATACGATCTTGTGGAACTGCTAGTACTGAGACAAAGAGGAAGGTATTTATTGTTATGGGAATATCTAAAAAGACAAGCCAAGAATTAGAAAAGGATAAGCTAAATGGAAGGTGACCTTGACAAGAAAGCTTTTATGAGAGGGAAGTGGCGGAGGCAAAGCAGAAGAGAAAATAGGTCTGGCACGAAATGAAGGGCAAAGCAGGAGGGTTGGCCAGGCAGCAGTTAGCACAGAGGAATGAGAACAATAGATTATCTGAATAGCCAAAAGTCCTTTGTTGGCTATTTCTACAAGCAAGCATCTGATTGGCAGCTTCTACTAGTTTTCTCCCAGGAAAAATTGTAGGTAAAGTATTATTTGTCCCCCAGCCTAAGGTAGAGGTGAGCTTCCTGGCATAGGAGAGAGAGTGGAGCTGCCTCAAACTTGTAAATTCCCAGAAAAATAGAAATTCTCAAAATTTCTGTTCTGAGCAACCCCTGCCATGTAACACGCTCCCGGGAGCCCTGTGTGTTGCTGACCCTCTGTTTAAGTTAGCGAGGATCCCACGTCCTGTCGTTCTCTTGCAGCCTTTGCTGCTCGGTCCCTCTTTGGCTCAGGCTTCAAAGCTCTGAGTGTTGTGCCAGCCATCCCTCTGGGAGCTGTTTTTGTCCTGCAGCTGTTGGAGTCCTGACTCAAGCCGGGGTTCTGGACTCCTCTGTCCTTGCAGGTCCCCAGGCTCCTGGCCCTACAGGAGTAAGCGGCTGTAGGTGGTCTGGTTTTGGTGTCCATAGCCCAGAACCCTGAGATGCTAGGCTAGAGTGTGTTTTCTTGGGATGTTGAGGTGTGCTCTGCTCTGGTCTGGGACAGGGAAGCAAGTTCCCGTGGGAACTGGTGTTCCCTGTCGTTTTGGCTCTCAGTAGTGTTAACGGGATGACTTGTACAGTAGACTGAGGAGTTCAGCTTTCAGCACATATGGCTGAGCTGATTGTCAAGCACCTGATAGAGTTTTCCCATTAATTGAATTCTTTGATTTTTTTTTTTCCAGAAGATCTAGTGTTCTTCATCTTTCAGGGTGTACTTTGGAAAGTTTCAAAGAATGGCTAAGAAGAATACCCAAAGAAGGAAGAGGTCTTCAACCTCAAAGATGCTCTTTTCTTCCCAACTGGGTTGTTGTTTCGCCCTTCACCTGTTCTTTCTCTTCCTCACAAACAGGCAGTGAAACAAAGAGAAACTGTCAGGAGTCAAAGACTACAGGGTTCACATAGCTTCAGTGGGCACCTTTGAAGCCATTTCCTTAAGTTCAAATCATAGAGCCGAGGGCCAACAGTGATGACCAGAAAAAGTTTTATCATTGTTAAACAATTAAACAGCTCTAGGGCTCTTTAGGAAAGGAGAGCTAATCACTTGTCACAAATCTGTTCAATTAACATATGTCAGTTTTTCATATACTGGATGTGATCAGTCACCCATGAAAATGAAATATGAGGAAAGGATTCATTCAGAGAATGCCAATCACCACTCAGCTAGAAATTTCACTCATTACTCAAGCCAGATTAGTTGAAAATGCAAGTCATCACAATGCGACAGCCGACAAGTGATTAAGATCTCAATCATTGCTCACTCCCATGCAGTTTTGTTTTTCAGAAGCTTTGGATGTCAGTTAATATTGCTCTTTCATCTCCATTAAAATGACACTTCCATAGTGTGTTTGAATTCTGAAACAGTGCCCCAGTTCTAAGCCAGAACTTAGAAAGAAAGGAAAGAAAAAATAATGTAAAATTACAGACAGAATTAAAGATGAGATAAAGCCCTTAATTTTTGCATCGTTAAGTATCTTGACAGTTTCAAGAATTACTAAATCCACACACAAATCCCTAAGTTGGAACAAGATGCTTGGAGATGAGTTAATGGAAATGTATACACTTAGGGGTTTGGTTTAAGCAGTTTTGTATTTTCAGAGATCTAAATGCTGTTGAGACTTACATACCTGCCTTTTGAATGCACTTGTACCTTTTTACCTCTTTATTTTACTGAAAACTGGACTTGATCTGCAGAAGGGACACTTGACTCTGAAAGTGTCTTTCTCAGCCATTTTATGGGCAAATTAGGAATTGGTCCAAGGCTTGACTTCAGCCCTCTTTAAACATAAATGTGCTATTGAGAGATAATTCAGGTTGTTTTAAATACTGTTAGTGCTTTCTGGTAGAGAAACATGAACAGTTGATACTAATCCTATTAAGGAGGGACTCAGGAAGGAGCAGCGTTAGTGAAAAATACTGGTGGCACTTATTTTTTAAATCAGTAAGGCTTGAAATGTTATGGACCTTATTTCATCCCAAAGATTCTAGGTGGGAGGAAGCCTGGATCTTTGGGATCCAACCCTGGAATACTACCAATGGAAAAATGATGGCAAAAAGGGCTTCCAATCCAGCTTGTTTCTTCCAGAATTTTTTGGCTAGCTCTTCATCCACTGATATTTTGTTCTGTTTTGTCCTATTTTGATGTTTTTGGATGATTATTTCCTTTTTGTTGTTCCCTAAAATGTTGTCACACATTACATACCCTTGCATATTCTCCACCTCTGTTTAGAAGAGTCTCAAATCTACTTCTCCACTCTTGACTTTACTTTTCAAACTTAATGTCTCATCAAAATGTCCTAACAGGTTTAAACTTTTTGTCACCCAAGCTTCTTCTCTTGGCTCGCTGATCCAACCCAGAAATATTGGATAGATGTTTTTATCTTGAAATGCTTTGACTAAAGTGATATTCTCCCTGGATCCATTGTTTTCTGCTTCTTCTGTCACCAGACTTCCTTTCCCAAAGGATTTTGTCGTGTACACTGTGGGGTATATTGTTTATGACTGTTCATTTATGATGAGAGTTTAGTGAAGAAGGGAAAGGTAGCAAGTTTGGTTAAACAAGAAAACTTATCCACTTCAAGAAGAATTAGTACTTAATAAAAAGAAACAAGGAGAAAGGATATTTCTAATGGTTCCCTGAGTGCCAGATCTGACAATGTTCAACATGAAACTAAAACCAGGTAATGTTAAACACTGGAAACTGCAATGACACGCTTCATTTTCTGTCGTGTCATAAGGAAGCAGAATGTAAATTTTAGCTCTTTTAAAGTGTCAGGCCAGAATAATAATATTTGTTACCTTTTGATGAAGGCAAAGCTTCTGATAGCATTACTGCAAAAATAAATATTGAAGTTTCTGTTAGGACTTCTGAAAAAGGTTTTTTAGAGATGACAGGATAGGATATAGGTAACAGACCCACTAATGGCAGATTGTAGCTTTCATGGCTTGTGCTGCACATGTCTGTCAAAAGTGGAAATAAGGATTTTGTGAAAGATCTTTGAAGTTATTTTAAAGGGACTAGGTTTAAAAAGCCAACATACTTTGTTCAGATTCTGAGAAGCCTGATATTGAGCTTCTCAGCTAAAGTTAAGATGACTTCTAATTCCTTTCATCACTTTTAAGTTTGCTGAACTTTTCACATTTTATGTAGAAATTTCTCAGGTATGAGCATTGCCTGAAGTGATATTTAAAAAAAAAAAAATTCTGAAAACATTTGGGGCTCTCTGGAATGTGGAAAAATATTCTGTTGGCATAAAATTCCTGTAATCACTTATTGTGCGGCTGTTGCAAGAAGCAGTGGGGGGGAAGGGAGAGGAGTGGAGGCAATTTTGCGTGGAGCTGTCACCCTCTGAGAACCAGTCAAGTTTTCTTCAAGCTGGCAAGTGTCTGCTAAATGCCTTGGCAATCAGTAGGTTTTGATTCGCCTTGGGAATTACGCATGGCAAATGTCATTGTGTAAATGAGCATGTTCTGCACAGCTGTGCTGCCCAGGGGATGCCATCCCGTGTCTGAAAGAGGGATAGGCGCGCTGGGTGACACAGGAGACTGGTCAGCTGCGGCGTTTCTGTACGTGTGGAACTAGTGGAGCAGGGTTCAGCTTTGCACATCTGTGTACACAGGGTACAGCTTGTGTGTGACAATCAGGAAAGATGGCTCGCGCCTTGCCTTGGGCCCTGCTGCAGGGCGATCCCGGGTGACACGTCCCCGCCGCGGGGCGATGCAGCGGTGCCGACGCTGGAGGTCAGCACCGAGCCGTGGAAAGCGCTCCGCAGCCGGGACCGCGCTGCGCCCTCCCCACGGGAGGAGGAGGGTGTTTCATTGCATCGGTGAATCTAGGAAGGGGAATGTGCTTTAATAAATATAGGGCGTTAAATGTACCCTGGTAGTGCTGATTACAGTCGCTCAATACAGATGAAAACACTTCTGTTTGAGGCGGTTGCTTTTGCACAGCGGTGATGTTCTGACTCCAAAGTTGTCTTGATTGTCTAAGTTCAGTGGACTTTGTTTTCAAGTTTGGTAAATCTATAATAAACTATTTTTAAGGTTCTATTTTATCATTTGAGAAGCTCAGTCTTTAAAGAAAATTGTATTTGAAGTAACATCTTCTGTTAATGACAGAGTTTATTACTGTGCAATTCTGAGGTGTCAGCTAGGGCAGCTGGACTGTCATATGCTGCTGTGTTGTCTTGTTTTATCAATGCTGTCTGTGTCAGATGGCTTTTTCATATATCTTGACCAATTTATCTTAAAACTGGCTAAATTTCTTGCTACCACTTGACAAGAATACTTGTCTAGACCCTCACTCTGTTGATGGCAGCTTTTTTTAATATCTTGAGTAACCATACCTAGACACATTTGCTCTTGTGTCAGCTTGCACAGCTCTTCTCCCTCCAACCCTCTCCCAGTGTCTATACAGAGTAACTTCGTATCCTGCTCCATATCCAGAAATCTTTGAAGTTGCAATTTACACCCTTCACCTCATTACCTCCAGGGCTGCTGCTCTGTCAGTACCTTCTTATGCCATAGTGTCAGGGGATATAGGGTGGCATTGGCAGGACAGATATTTGGTGGTCAGGAAGAAGAGTTCCCTGTTTAATGCCTGTTTCCCATCCAGACTCCTCTGAGCCAGTGTCCCAGTAACTTCACAGGGGACACAGAAAAAAAAAATCTGTGCAACAAGGATAGGGTTTCTTCTGGCAGGGAAGCAGGTCTTCAGAGTCCTTGAGAACCACTAGTGGTGCCCGGGAAGCTGGGTTACACTTGAACAGTCTCGATCACAGCAGTTTGTCAATATTTACGTAAATTTTCTTTGGACTGCTTTGTGTAGTTTGGCACACTGCGATTCTGTTTGGAGCCTCACGTCTGAACGTAGTTAAAACCAAACCATCATATTTCTTCAGAATTACTGTTGCTGATGTCTACAATGTGGAATATGGCTCAAGTTTGCTCACAGCTTTTTACAAGTTTGCATAACAGCAAACACTGTTTGCCAGAAGTTCATAACTGTCAATAAACTTGGGCTGAGTTTCAGGTCAAAAAGATAATATTGAGTACATGTAATAAAACTTCAGAGCGGAGGAAGTTTCTTTTCCTTTTCATCAAAGAGCTTTCACCGTGTCTATACAACCCAGTGCATGTAGTAGTTGGCAGATTGTCCCAGTGAAGGTGGTCTTCTGTGTCTTCAGAACTTTCCTTTCTCAGGCACTGTAATACATGTTTTCCAATTGGATAGCCCTCTGAGAAGAGGCTAGAAGCTGTCAAATCCTTCAGTGTGACACTTAAATTTCATATGCTGATGAAGAAAGTGGTGGTTACTTATGTATAATGAGAGATGGAGGACATCTTGCAGTTTAAGGCAGATGCGTAAAGTAATCACGGAATGAGGCAGACTTTGAGGGTTTTATCTATGGTACAGTACCATCATTTCTTGTGAATATGAACAGAAGCTGTGGAGCAGAGATACAGCTCAGAAAATAAACTGCATTCAGCAGTGCTGTTTGTGCTGAGCCTGTTTTAAGGAGTCTTCTACATCCCTCAAACCATGAGAGCCTACCTCCAGCAGTTCTCGCCTAGCTTAACCAGGAGAAACTCCTGTGCTGACGCTTTGTCTCCTTCAGGGAGGTGCGTGTGCCATGACTGAGAGAGGTTTGAGCCCTCACAGTTTTCATTTGCTCTAATATCTCTGGGTTGCCAGCATCTGGTGTTGTTTGGGATAGATTTGTAATTTGTCCTAGAATCTGAGAAACTGTGCAGTGGCTAAAGGTGAGGGAAGAGCACGGCAGCTAAGGACTGAGTCCTAAGCAGCAAACCCAGTGTAGCCGTGTCCAAACTAAAGTCTAAAACTTGATAAATTCTGATACTTGGATGTTAAATAGGAGAAAATGCCAGACAGCTTCGGCATACAAGATATCACAATCTACCTCTGTTGTAGCAGACCTCTCTGCTTTAACTTTCCTGGCTACCAAGATGTTCCTAGTCTTTGGTGGCTCTGGTGTGTTGTGCACAGCAGCAAGGCCTTTCCCTGGCTTTTGCACAATTTGAGACGCTTGACTGAGACTTCCAGAAATAACTTTGATCTTTTTCACTTCCTAGTGGCATAAGCACAAACTTTCCCAGCCTTGAGGGTGCTATAAATTAAAGATTTGCTTTTCAGGGCTGGAGCTAATAATAACTGAAGCAAACTCATGCACTGGAATGAGTTACTCTTTAGTTTGGATGGTGTGGAAAAAAAAAGTAGATCCAAGCAGAAGAATAATGTGTCTCACCATAAATGCCTCAGTCTCTTTACTACCTGGAGGTGTTTTTGGGTTAAAAAATTAAGCTAAAGTTAATTAAAATTAAATAAAATTAAGGTGAAAAATTAAGCAAATCTGTTTGAGGTCATATGGTAGTTTATTAAGAGCTCGACTTCTTTCAGGCCATTGCAAACATGCTGTGTCCAATACTGAAGAAACCAGATTTTAACTTTCTCTGTATTTTATGCAATACAGTAGTTGAGTCTAGTATTTGAATTCTTGTTCCCTAAAGTAGGTTATTCAAGCGTTTTCTCTAGGCTCATTTATCATTACTCCTTTCTAAATACAGGTCATGCTCCACATTTAAACTCATAAAACATGGGTTGTGGCTCACAAACCTGTACTAGCTTGGTTGCATGTATGGATTATGCAGGCTGTATGTTGTTTTCCATATTCAGACACTATGCCTTTTGACTTTCTGTGAAAAACTCATCTGCTTTAAACTCTGTCTTGCTGAGATATTTTGTTCATTGTTTAGAGGAGAAAAACATTCAGGTTTGCCTTTTGATCTTCTCATCTAGATCAGCAAGCTCATATCAAACTCACTGAAGCTGATGATGAGCTGGCAGGGGTCTTGTAACTGCAGAAGAGTTGTACTTCACCTGGGTTTTAGACCCATGCTGCATGTGCCTTCAGTAATGAATACAGAATATAATTTAATAAGATTAAAATGAAGAGTCGTTGAATTAAAAATTAAGCCTCTGCCAAACAAATGGAAGAACACGTAGCAAGCACTCCGAGGAAGTGCTCCTGTTTATCAGAGCAGGATGTAGCTGGTGTGAGGGGAATTAGGTACATAATTCCCATTGAATCCTGAATTCGGTAGGTAAGCTTTACATCTCCCTAAGCTGACTTTGCCTGCTTTTGAAAATAGATGTAAAGAAACTATCTTGGCCATGTATTTTAGCTGTCACTTTCATGAAAATTACATTATTTTGTTTTGTTGCTTTTTAGCTGCAACAATGGTGGAAGCTGGAAGAGACAAGAAAAACCCAGATGAATTTGCTGTGGCATTGGATCAAGCTCTTGGAGACTTTGCATTTCCAGATGAGTTTGTCTTTGATGTATGGGGAGCAATAGGTGATGCTAAGCAAGGACGACTGGAATGAGAACTATGCAGTTTATCAATCCCTATTTTAAAATACAGATTTATTTTCAAATACATACATCAGAATTTTATTACTTTTATTGATATGAATCCAGGGTGCTCTAAGTGTTCTTATCTGAGACTTTCTTTTCCAAAGGAAGGTTTTGAACAGAAATATGAAGATAAATCCAAAGTTCTGACAACTACACATTTAAAACAAACATTTAATTTACATGTAGAAATCACTGTGAGGAGTGCGTCAATGAGATATAGTTATACAGACATTTTATGAAAATCAGGTATTTTTTACTGTACATACACTTTAATATCAATACTCTGAAGAGTGTTAGACATATGCAACAAAAAGTTCGGATTATTTTCTCTCTTCTTTAAAAAGATTTATAAACTTGTTGAAAAACTACCTAGCTACACTCTCCAGTTCCCTGGTCATCTGTTGTCCTTATGTATTAGTGTACGCAAAGAGCTGTGGAAAACCTAAAGCTTTAGGTTTTCTTACAGTTTGGCCTGGACGTAGTCTCTTTGGTAGACAGAGCTGGGAAGAAGCTACCCTGTTTCTGAAGAACCTGAGTTCAGGGAAAAAAATATCCCTCTGCAACGTGAGAACTAAGAACTTTGAATGAAAAAGGTTTGCTTGCATTTGAGTCTGAATACACGCTGTCTGGGTATTACTGAGAGGAGTAAGTATAGTAGAAATGCTTGAGCCAGGAAGCTTCTGCTTTATTCAGATGTCGTGTTATTGCGATAGGAACTGCATAGGAAGAAACAAATGTTAGTTTTGATTACTGTTCATATATTTGAATAGTATCTATCATCTGGCACTGGAGACTATAGTGTATGACTAAGTGCTTATTTGATCAGTGCTAAATTCGATGAGATCCTATGGAGTTCCTCTCTTTGTTTTTTTTCAACATGGCAACATAAGAGAGACATTGAAGATGTTCAAACCTGGACAATATTATTGTAAAGTCACAATTACAGTTTGGATGAAAATGCATGCCTAAAACCTGAAAAATACATTAATTTTAGGTGTTAGGATGTCCAATTATATTGTACATAAACATTTATTTTACCTGTCAATATTTTACTAATAATTCTCAGATTATTAAAAATGAACTGTCTCTCTTAACGCTTCTGCTATGCCTGCATTTATCCTCCTATTCACCTTGTATTTAATGAAGAGCAATACAATATGTTCTTTTTTTACTCATAGCAAGATTCTTTTTCAGTTTTTGATATGCTTGGTTTTAATTAAGACAGATATTTGCTTATTTGTTTAGAAAAAAGCTACTTTCAAGATGTTATTATAGCCAAATAAAATGTTGTGAGTGTCCTTGAAAATGAGATTGAACAAGAATGTGGAGCCTGACCTGGGAAGGTGTCATAGCTTTTTGGTATTTTTATATTTGCATAAGCATATAAAATAATAGGTATTGCAGAAGTTTTTTCTAAATCACTGCCTCGTTGCTTTTCTTCTGATGAAAATGTCTTTCACTGTCTTGCATAGACCTCCTTAAAATAAAAACTATGCCAATGATTTTACATGTTCTATGTCAATGATTTTTTATGTCTAAAACCACAACACTTTGAAGTCCTCAACAGGTCCTCGTTCTCTTTACCATGTTATTTAGGAAGGCTCCTAAACTCCACTTCAGTCTTTTGCACAAATTACAATAAACGAATATTTTTTCTAGTTATGAAATATTGCACAACATCTTATAAATACTGTTCAGTGGTCTTTCAATGGGGATAATCTCCAATCTTAAAAATGCTGTTGTGAATATTTTGCTCTTGTTTCTCAGATTAAAGGAAAAGCTTTCTCATAATATAGATGTTCCTTTTTATAAGATGAATAGTACAGAGCAGTACAGAGGTCATATTATATTGTATCTAAGAAGTTCAGAGGTGTTAAAATTTCTCTTCATTGTAATAGTGCCTTGTATCACCAGTATGGGATTAAATCAAACAGGTGTGATAATCATAAATTTCTATATGTAGAAATACATACAGATAGAAAAATTTAGGCTATTCTCAAATTATGAGAAGTAAAAATGTATGATTTTACAAAAAAAATTGGGTTTTAGTAACACTTGATTAAAGAAACTTTGTAAGAAGGTGGTTAAATTTTACACAATCCATTGCTCAGCTGGGGCCATGAAGATGTATTATTCTGAGAACAGAGTGTAATTTTAGGATGGAGAGCATGAGGTGGGTAACGTTTCTCTGTGTTTAATAATTGGAAGTCTGAGCCCACAATCTTCTGTTGCAGTTGAGCATGCTCTGTCTTGCACAGGGCTACTTCAGCTAATGTGCTCTTGGTCATGAAGAGTTAAAGTGTCATGGGCCATATCATTTTTTCTTTGGATTTCTTTTAGGCAAAAAGGAAAAATGAAATGTCAAGAATTCCCTGTTGGTTTTAAGTTGTTTTATATAAAAATGAAATGTCAAATTTTGTAGAAATGTTTATATACTCTAATGTTAGTAACCATCATGCCGCTGATTAGAAAAATCAATTAAAGAATTCCTTCTTAAACAGCAAAAACCATGTAGTATGGAAGAGTTGTATTATAAAATAATACATGAAATGTTACCTGTAGCAGATAACCCCTCGTGTTTTGGCTGTTAATTTTATTTTGAGAAATTAATGTTGTTCAATCAATTTATCCTTGGTGGATAATTTGTCCCATTGCACTGATAAAATAACGAGATAAAAATAATCTCTGAAGCTGAAATTCTGCACAGAGCTGTCTCTTGTCATAGCGGTCTGTCTTTGTGGAGTTTATTTCAGAACTAAGCTTTAAATAGTGATTGCAATTTTACTAGCGTTCCATGCAATAAAATATATTGATATATCTTAATAATTTTTCTGGGTTCTCATTTATGCATGCACTATTTCCAGCACATAAGACATAATGGTACCAGTACCCAATTTAGTAGATTAATTGCATTTTCCAGATACATGTGAATAAGTTGTCACATGAAAATCACACTACCTTATAAAATATGATAAATACTTCTGGCTCTTTGTAATGATTTGTGTAGTAAGTTAGTGTTTTACTAACGAAATACAGCCTGCAGATCCCTTTAAAACCTGGTCAATAACAACACTAAAGCATCTGCATGCTTTGTAGGGTGAAAATGTCATTAAATGTCCCTACAAAAATTCCTAAATTCATTTGAAGTACTAGTTCTAGTTAATATACATGCTGTCAGAGTACGACTATAAACTTCTTGTTCTTAGTGTGTGTTGCAGGTGGAGGTGGATGTTGGTGAACAGTCCTCTCAAAACTGGAGGTGAAATGAGACAACTCTGCTCTTCTAAAAGTAACTGATTCTTTATTCCTATAATTTGGTGCACAGTTTTAGAGAGCTGGCAGGTATATGCAATTATTTGTGCCTTTACTTCCAGACTTACTGCTATTTTCAAGACAGTGCAAAATACACCAGTATTTTTCTCTGTAAGCAATAGTCTTTAGATGCAACAAGGGGATCTAATGAAATCTGATGTTCATAAAGTTCTGAGCTGATAGTCTTAAAAATAAGATGAGTGATGAATATTTCACACTTTTAAAGGCACTAATTTTGCAAATTACTGGTGTGTCTTTTGCGATACCTTTATTATGCCAGATGTTGCTTCAGTTAGATTTGATTTTATGGAACTCAAATAGCTATTAATATAATCAGTGTATTTGGGAAAATCTTATCTGCTATTCAGATTTGCACCTTGACTTGAATAATGCATATATTCTTATTTCTGTATATGATTTTCTTCACAGTTTGTCTTCCCTCTTTTTTTTCCTTTGAGATAAATGTAATATAAAGCTTTGAAAATCTTGTTCCTAGTATTTGAGAGTGAAATATTAATCTTCAAGTTAGAGCTAATTTATAATACTTTGTTAAGAAAAGCTATTGGGCAAGATGTAAAGCAAGGTATAAAGTTTTAGAAGTGCCATCTGTGATGACAAAAAAGCAAATTGTAGATTTTTTTCCTGTTTTTAAATGCAGACTTCTGCTCCTTTTCAAATTGCATATTGTTTTTCATGAAAACTGCTCTCAGAATTTCTGTTCCAGAGTCTGAATATTGTAGTAAATGATCTGTTGCTCTTAATTTTTATTTCTGCCAGGAGATATTTCAGAACAATTAGAAGTCAGGGTGTTGAATATTTGCCCTTTTGAAATCAAGTACATGCTTGCCATGAACTTTAGAACTCAACACTAGCAATAAGAGCTTAATCGGAAATTTATATTCAGTATTGTTTTCTTTTCCAATTCTCTGACTCCCTATGTTTGGAAGGCATTTTGCCTTTAGATGTTGTTATACTTTGAAAGATCTGTGATTTAGTTTATGAAAATATGGACAAATTCACAGACTTGGAAATCAAAGGGAAAATCTTCAGCATTTATTGAAGATACTTGTAAATATTAACAGTCTTTGATTTTAAAATATGCATCCTGCATTACAGATTTTGTCCTCAGATAAGGTATATTCAATGTGTGAGACTCAGGGAATGACAGCTAAAAAGACAAAAAAGATTGAGGCAGCATAAATGTAAAGAAAAGCTCTCTTTTATTGAAACACATGCACTGGCTTTAAGTAGAACAGCACAATGTCGGTAGATTGAACAGAAGCAACCTTCTGATGTGTTTAGGCTGCCCTGTCTCTCAACTCTTGTTACCTGTAAACAGAGAGGTTGTGAGCAGCTTTTTCAGTTTTCTTTAAATAGTAGTCCTTACCTAAATCTCTATTGCTATATCAGAGCTCTTTCAGAAAAGTGTAGCTGTTGGTTTTGTAGCTGAGTTGTTAGCCTGTAGGGTTCTCCCAGTTACCGGAGAACTAATGCAGATTTTCAAATTGTCGTAAACTTAGTTGTACTATACAGTATTTGAAAGAGGAAAAAATAATGGAGAAATAAATGTCTACTTATCTTTGAAATTAAAGGGTATCTGTCAGTTCCACTTTTTAGAGTCATTACTGCTGTACTCCTGCTGCGGTGACCTGTGTGTACATCGTGCTTTCACCCCAGCTGGCAACTGAGCCCCACACAGCCGCTTGCTCACTCCTCTCAGAGTGGGATGGGGGAGAGAATCAGAAGAG